CCCCAAAACCCCAAAACCCCAAAACCCCAAAACCCCGTTTATCAACTAATACTTTGAACTAAGAAATGTTTTATCTTTGTATTTTCTCTGAACCATTACTTCCAAGCTCTTGACATATAGCCATACTTCTTTGAACTCTTTAAGGATGACTTATGCATCTGGCTGATGTTCTTCATGATTTGGTTCTTTGCTCCTTCCTTATTTCCAGATTGAGCATTTCCTTCAAGGTTTGCAACAGGTCTGTAAGTAAGATCAAATACAGAGATATTCCTTGAGACAGACTTTCCGCCAACTTTTCCTTTAGCTTCCATTTTCATTTTAGATGGGTTGGTATCTTCAGTGCAACAAGAAGGATCTTTGTCATTGCTTACTATTGCTGCCTCTTGAAGCTTTCTAGTTCTGTACTGTAGATACTTCTCTTCATATTTACTCTGACTCTTACATTCATTGCCGAGATCAAGAATAGATTTGTACCATTTATGGAGAACCTTTGTTGCCATTTCTTTCAAATTATTTTGTATTTGCATTCTTCTCAAGATTTTTAACTTGCCTTCCTAATCTAGTTCCTTGAAGATGCTCAGGAGTAATAGGAAGGAACCCACAAATTTCAAGAACCGCTTCTTGTACTTCGTTACTTGGGAAGATCCCATTGATAGTTTTCTCTAACCATAAGCTCAAAAAATTTAGTCCATCATTGGCTAAGAACAAATTCTGAGTGATCTTATCTTTCAGTTGCTTGACTAACTTATTTGCTATACAGGATCTTATGTACAGCTGGCTGGCTTTTCGTGGCTAATTCTAAGTCCATTTCATAACTTTTAGCCATCCTATTAAGAATATATCTGAGAGTTTCATCTCTATTTTTTGGAGTGAAATTTGCTCCAACTTTGATGATACATTGCTCCATCTGTGATAACGCCCGATAGTCCTGAGTAACACTCTGAGGGAGTGTATCTTTACTATCCTCAACTCTGTTCGAAGATATACCTGAATCCTTGACCTCAAGACTTATAGAGCAAGCAGATTGTCTCAAAGGTCTCTCTTCATGCTGCTCATCTTCCTCATGTTCACTACTGATCTGTATAAACTTAGGAGGTGTTTTCTGTAGCTCTTGATTTAAACCCTCACTGTAAACCTCTTTGACACTTTCTTCATCACTTTCATTCACCTCTACTTCCTTGCTTGGCTCAAAAAATTTTACAATACTCATCTGCTTCATGCCTAAAAGTCAACGAGATCTTTTCCTACTGTATGTCACTATTTCAGATAAATTATGACTAAATTCTTTAAAATTTAGTAGCTCAACTTTCCACAACCAAAATGGGGTTTTGGGGTTTTGGGGTTTTGGGG